GAGTCAGAATCCCTTATCTCTGTAGGCAAGTCAATTTCTTTGATCCTCAATTTCTCCCCCTCCCTTTTTTTTGAAAATCAAAATAGTCCTGTTTAATGAACATCTGTCCTTTTTTGTGATAGTGCTCTTGTTATTAAATGTTATAAAACCTTTTGTTATCAACTTGTTATAAGACAAAACCCTGCTTTTATTTCCTGAGCTATGAGAATATAGGGGGAGGAAAAAAAATCATTTTTTTTTTGCCTTAAGTATTTTTTTGCAGGGTTACAAAAATGTCAAAGTATAGTCTATATATTTTTTAAATTCAAAGTTATTATTCATTTTTTTGAATGCTAATGCCAAAGTTTCCGATAAGAACTCTGTCAAAAACAAATATTGCCTTTAATCTGTGGTTACTAAATGCATGTGGGTGAGACTATATTTAGATTTTAAGATGTGCTGTTCAAATTGGTTCATGTCGGGTGTCATTACTTAATTCATTTGATGGGGTCTGTTTCTAGATTTAGCATTAAGGATAGCCATTTAAAAAATAGCCAAATATCCAGTTTTTTGTTAGTGTTGAATATTTAATCATATGGTAGCTAATAGCAAATTTTTCTCTTAGCACTTTTAAGGCAATTTTAAATTGTAAAACCCCAGTAAATTAAATGTTAATTGAAAAAATGAGTACAATTAAGAAGGCGAACTTAGATGAAACTGATATAAGATTTCCACGGATACAGAAAATAAAAAAAAGGCTAACAGATTGCTTAATAAAACAATGTTTTTCGCATATGTTCTATGTGGATATAATAAAGAACTTCAGGATAATCTATCAAGATTTTTTTTCAACATGCCATCTGAGCATCTAACATAGCTGTAAAGATACATTTCAGCATCAGGTCAATTCCATTTCCTATATGGAATTACAATTACATATACTGTAAGTGTAAAATGTGTTTTAGAAGAATTTTATTTTGGAGGTAATTTTAGAAAGCAAATGATATACTTTTACTAAATTCAGTCTTTTTGTTTTTTTTTAGATCACCTTTGTAAACTCATTATTAGTCCTATTTTATTTAGAAGGGAATGATCAAAATACCTAAGTGAGTTGGCTCAATTTCCTCATAGATTATATGTATTGAAGCCAGAAAACAGATTCACTGTTCTGTAATGATCTATCATGTGCTCAATTCCTCAGTCCTAAAAATATAACACTTCCATAATACCCCTTTGAAAAAAGAGATCAGCCCATGAAATTATTCTTGACTACTTCGTGAAAGTTATTTTCCTGGTTCTCCAAGAATTCTATGACATTCCTACCTCACAATAGAAAAGAAAATAATTTCATAGAAGTTATTTAACCAAGATTAATCTTCCCTATTCTAATGTCCTATGCTGAAATCACACAATAATAATGTGTTATAAGATGGATTGACAAATATCCAGTGATTTTGGCTAATAAAATTTCATACAGTTCACCATGGCTTAAAAACTACATTGTTTCTTAGTGGATTAATGTCTCACTAGATTTGAGCAAATCATTAATGGCCAAATGATTTGAAAAGTTCTGTTTCCAGGAAAAAATGCAGGTTGGATCCCAAAAAGAATTTTCCTTTGTCGGCTTTCTTTATTCCCATTTCCTGCACAATACATAGATTTGAAGATTTGCTAATGGGTCAATTTCCATATTCAAAGCCTACAACTATATGAAATGATCAACTGCACTACTCAAATTTTTAGCACACATATCTTATTAGAGAGCTTATACCTTTATATTATATATACTAGTCAACTTCTCCATTGCTCTAAAATAATTAATATTTCCACATGTGAAATTACAGTTCTTAGAATACAAACAACAAAATCATTGAGGAAATAAAAGGGCTTTTGATGACTTTGAAAAAGGGTAATAGGTATTAAAGGCAAGGAGACACATATATAAATGTATTGTCTAACTGGTTACTGTGCAAGTAATTATAAACATTTTCATACAAATTATTTTAGCCCTATTCTTCTGAAACTCCTTGTAGGCAGAACTTGTCAGTCATGAAAAGAACTCACTCTTCTCTATGGTGCTAGCGAAAGACCAAACTCTAAGGTAATCAACATGCTCATTCATACTAATCATGAGATTTGACTTCAACTGCTCTTAGTCATTTTGCTTTAGAGTCAACTCAACCATCTAGGAAGGGTATCTTGCCTCACTAAGATGGGAAAAATGTTCAGATTGAGGATCTTGGTCTCTCCTCTCCACCACCAACTTGAGCATTAATGGTCCTTTCAAGGAATTCTTTAACCTCTGTGATCCTTACACTCTCACATGGACTTCCAATGAAGTATTATATAAAGGTTTTCCAGAATGGAACCTAACTTCCCTTACCATCATAAGTCTGGTGAGCTGTAAATCCATTGCTGGAACTAACAACTTCATCGACCACATGAGAGTAATATATCAACATGTTCATCTTTCACTGGAAGCCCTGATACCCGTCTCAGAACTAGTAAATAGGCAGTGGAGACATGTCATATACATGATCCATTAACTTCCTGATAGTCGCCTCTGTAGTTATTAAAGCATATCAGAGGAAGACCAAAAGAGATGCTCCAGAAATAAATCTGCCCTTTTAGTGAAAAACAGCAGCTATGAAAACTGTCAGGAATCAGTTTAAATCATTCTTGCTGTAACAGTGACAACAGAGTCTAATTGGAATCCTTTGGCTGAAACAAGTGGTCTTAATAAGGTGAATATTAGTGAAAACAAATGTACACCCAAGACAGGCTCAGATAGAGCCTTTTCTACTGCAGGGAAGAAGCCAAACAAAAGGAATCAGATGAGGCAATTCGAAGTCTGATTCTCCTTTCCACACCCACATGGTCAAGTTTCAGGTGCTTTTATTAGATCTCATTTGGTCGTAATTAGGTTCTACATGGAGAAAAGAGATGCAGTAGAGCCTACTTTACTATAAACAACTCCTTCAAAGATAGCTGGTGAAGTGGATATTCTGATTGATTAGGTGAATAACCCATGGTGTGGTACATACTCAGGATGGAAAGCCACATGGAATGCTTTTCCCAATACACGCAAATACTTTCAGTTGTTGTATGGCTCACTAAAGTGGTTTTATTCCTGAGGGGATGGAAGAAGAGTGTTTTAATGCAGAAACAGTAATCTGATTCAGTCTTTACCAATTCAATCTTTGCTCACCTTCACTCCCAGCACTGATGGGGAAATTAAGAGAGGCATCTGTTGACTATGTAACAGTAACCCTGCTGGTCAGACAAATCTACAACAAACTGTAACTTCTTTCAGACTTACTGTTTTGCCCACCATTTCATGACCCGTTCCTGTCTACAAAAAGTTATTAATACGATGGCTTCCATGTCTCTGGTGCAGAAAGGTAGTTGTATACTGTAACTCATATGTGAAGAAGGTGGTCTCTATACCACTTGAGCCATCTTTTAGCTTTGCGATCTGATTTCTCCAACAAAGAGGAGTTGTGGCATGATATGGAGACAAAGACAGTTATTTAAAATTTAATGGTGCCTTGAATACGGCATCTGGAAGATTCCTAACACACCTTCTCCCATGGGACACAGAGTCTACAGTTACATGTGCAAAAGCAAAATTTCCTCATGACAAGCAGACCTCAAAGGTGGCTGGGTGAGCTTCCACCAATGAGACAAAAACAAAACAAAACAAAACAAAAAAACTCACAAGCAGGAACTTCGGACGCAATCTCTTCAGCATCCCTCCCCCACCAGACCTAGTACCCCCCCCCCACCAGCCAGGACCTCAAAACCTGCGTGTCCTGAAGGCCCAAGGTTCAAACCCTACAGTGCCCTCCCAGCTTTTTTAAAAAAATGATTATTTATGCTTACAAGAACTGAGGTACAGGCCAGAGGTTCAGGGGTGGGGAGAGGCTTTACCAGAGACAGAGTGGGGAGCATCTACGAAGTACACTGCTGAGGGAAGCAGCTTGTGGGACAGGAGAGGTCTACTGAGCCTTATGGGTCACCCCCGGACCACACAGTGGCTGCGGATAGCTTCATAGTGCTGTGCTTTAACTTGTTGCACCACCAAAAAGCCCTCCCTGCTTTTGAGACACACATAAGTGGGGAACCCCCAGGCCCCGACTCCTCAGAGAAAGGGGTTAGAACACGCAGCACGTGACTCACTGTCACCCAGGCGCAGGTTGGAGGCAGGTGCTTGTGCTCAGGCTGGCGTGCCAGGCTCACCTGCTTATATGAAGGTGCTGCCCAAGGCATCTAATTTAACAAATTTCTGCACCTGAAATCGAATACCTACCTCTGCTGTGTGGGGTTCAGTGCCTCTGAAACTCACAAAGTTGCATCTACCAAGAAACTTTGGAAGTTCTAAATACTTCACTCTGTGTGTTTGTGTGTGTGTGTGTGTGTGTGTTTGTTTTGATCCCTTTTAAAGATGACTTCAATTTCCAAATGAGTATAAATATTCTGTTGGCTAAATAGTGTCTTAGCAGCAAAAATATGTAGCACCTTTCAAGGAACTAAACTATTTCTCTGATGATGAGGGCAGTGAATTATTGCAATAGAAGAGGGGAGTCCAGTGGTACCTGAAGTCTGCCATCCTCTCTGATAAGGCATTGGTGATATGAATTGCCAGAGCTAACTGTGTTTACTTCTGTGAACAAAACAACCACTCTTCAAAGTTTACATCTTTGAGAGGGGCAATTTGTCATATGTAATTACCTGTTTTCTCAGTAGAGAAATACAGCCCCTCCCCAATGACTGTTCCCGTTTGTCTGAATCATTTTGATGAGGTGCAACAATGCTTTTTCCAGAGGCATTTGGCTCCTGCAATGCATTTATATTTGTTTCAAATGAAACCAGAGATACTTACTCTATCACTTCCTTGGCATGGATGTAATTCATGGGAAGGGATGTGTAATCATACAGTCAGACCACCCCTAGGGATTTTCAGAATCTGGCTATTGACCAATCTGAATAGTTGATCTTTATTCATGAAAAAAGTTCCCCAAGGTAAAGGCTTTACAGCTTGATAGCAGTCTGAACTATAACAGATGTTGATTTGGTGTCGATAAGTACATGCCGTGGAGGGTAACAATTCACAGAGAATCCACTGTACGTTCTATGGTTAGGCTTCATCCTTTATTAGGTAGTGAGTAAAAGACAACTGATGCTTACAACTCCAATTTAAGAGACCTTTTAAACAAAAATGGTTCCATAGCGAAGTGAGGCAGAAGGGATTTGGGTATTTCTGAGTTTTCTCATATGGCTGATGGAGAAAATATGGCTGATTTGTTTGTTCCCAGCAAATCATTAAAGTTAGTAATGTCTTGTGATCCAGGATCTGTGCAACCACAGGACTTAACTTCGATTGGACTGGCTCATTCATTTTGGTGAACATGGGAAGAACAGCAAAAGCACATTGCAGTGAGCTTGCATCAATTAACATTAAGTTCTCCAACAGGAAGAGGTTTGCTCAGGTGTAAAGGGTGGCGGAAGGGATTCAGGCTGACTTACAGTGAAAGATCAAAATATTTGTCAAATCAGAAAAATGAAACTAAAGGTCAAAAATGGTCATAAGCTGGTCACATGGAATACAGACAGAGCTCTGGACAATAAAATTTATGAGCGACTCTGGACCTGGTGGAACTATCGGGCATCTAAGGAAACACAAAGACCAGAGGTGAGCTACGGACAAATACAAAACTGTCAGAGGTTCCAAGACAAATTTCAGTTGCTGATAAAATGTTTCATCAGCGATGTGCAATTTAGACTTTTTTTTTTACCCAAGACGTAACGTTTTCCTTTTTCTCATTCCTCGCTTTCTTCCCTCATGTCCTCCTTTCCTTCCATTCTTTGTTTTGGTTCTTTATTTAACAAAAGATATAGGAAATCAACTGCTTTAAAGCTATGTTCATATGACAAATGTCTGTAGCTAGATGGATGATCAAAAATCCAAAGACCATGTTCCATGTAGAGCACCAAGCACGCTATGGGTGTTTTTTAAATATAAAATGATAAATGCTAAATACCTATCTCTCCAATGGTTTCATCTTGAATCTGTCTACCTCTCATAAGGTTACTATAGTTTAGGTAAGAGCAGTTTGAGGAAGGCTATGCCCAGCCCTTCCCTGTATTTTTAAATAGTCTTTACAAAACCTCTTCAAAAATATTTTTTTCTCTAAACCTAAATCACATAGGATTGATTTGTACATGTTTTATCATTGCTCTAAGTTTGAGCGTCATTGTTCTTATGAATGCAACAGACTAGCTGTGTTGAACCCCATCATAGGGATAGGTATACGTTAACCTATGGGAAAAAGCAAATAGCCTTTATCACAAATTAAAGGCACAGCTATTTTTATGCCATTTGTTACCAACTTAATGATAACATGTAACACAGGATGGTTATATAATTATTTTATATAGATTTTCTTTTTATAAGTTATTCTCTTAATCTTTCTAACATATATACAATATACATATATTTATATATACCCCTGATAAATCTTATTTTAAAGGTAAATCGTCAACTCCTTTCAGTCTTACGGTGCATATCAAAGGCTGTCAGCATTTCGCAAGTCCACTAGAGAAGTGATGGTCTTGTGCATCTTACCAATATTTTCTTTTTTTTTTAACCACTATATCCTTGATCTGCAGTTAACTCTGACTCATCTTATTTGTTTTGCTAATATTTCAATACATATCATGGTTTATATCATGTCAGTAGGAAATCTAAAAAAAAAACAAACAAGATAAACCCCACAATAGCTAATGTCTACCATCATATTCAAAGCAGAACCCTACTGGTATGATATAAAGGGGAAATTACAGAGAGACAATATTCTGATTTTATTGGATATGCACTAACATGAAAAACCCTTCCTTTGTTTATCTGTCTAGGTTATGATCATCCCTTATCCACAAGCAAAACAGTCATGCTGATTTCTTTCTGAACACCCATGATGTGTGGGTTAACTTGTTTTCAGGTGGAGGTTTATGATAATAGTTCCCTATTTCCAGCATTACTATCACAGGGTGGAGAAAGAGTAGTTTATAAGAAACCATATTTATTAATCTCCTCCACCTCTGTGTTTAGCCCTGTTCTATTGCTCTGACCTCAGAGTCATCTCCAAGCTGACTAGGAGGGGGAAGAACTTGGACGAGGGAGATCTCCCTAGCTCCATCTGGTTTTAATTTTTTGACTGCTTACTGGCATGAAATAGTTGTTCATTCTACCTTTTGCAATTCTTTTAAACCTAGTGGCATAGATTGAGACACAGCACTATTGTTTTACAAGACATCTACTGTATCTACTTCTGTTGGGCTAAATACCCAGGATTTGCAGTCTGTAGCGGGAAGACCAGCACGCTCACTACTATTCACAGTGTTGCTTTTGTTTTTTTTTGTTTTTTCTTTTTTTCATATTACTTTAATCTACAGAGTAAATTATTATATATACATTGGAACCAGTTAATGCCCTTAGACAATGTATAGTTGTTTTATAAAGCAGAAAAGACAATGCAGGGGGGAATTAGGTGCCCAAAAGGACAGTCACAAAGATTTCAGCAGTTCTAGATACCACTACAATTCAATGCTGGAGATCACTTCTAAAACAATCAGTGTTCAAGAGGAATGCTTTAATTTGGACAAAATACCACCCCTTTCCCTCCCGCCCCCAAACTTCCCTCTTTTTTTTTTTTTTTAATATAATCTTTTCAATTCGCTATCAAAAGTCCTGGCTCATCAGATATTCTTTAAACTATAAATAAACACTGCATAGTTCTCTTTTGTTGGTTTTGTTGTTTGAAAAATTATTGCAGTACAATGATTCCCATTTGGAATTCAGTAAGGAGCGAACAGCACAGGCGTGTGGGCGGTCCGAATGGGTCCCGGAGCTGGCCGCAGGAGGGCTGGCGGGAGCGCCGAGGTCTGGAACAGCGTCGCCGCGGGAGCTGTTCGGAGACTGAAAGGAGAATTGACTGCCACTGCAGCAGCCGCTGCAGCCGCTGCCAGAGGGTTTGGTAGGATTCGTGGGGCCAATGGCTTTGAAGGTTCTTTTGAAAAGACTAGTTTGACCTGCAAAGGAGGGAAAAAAGAATAGAGGAACAAAAGTTGTGGGGTCTTCACTTAACACTCCAAATGGTGGGAGCTTTTACAATAGGGCAGCAAACAACGACAAAGAATAGCCCACACTTGTGAACTCTCTATAAAATTAATGGCAAGTGTAGAAAATCTTTCCCTTGGAACAACTGGAAGATAAACCCAGTGGCTGATTTGGAATGTACTCAGACAACACTGTTTGATTTTCCTCCCCTTTCCTTTTTTTTCTTTTTATTGAAATAACACTGGTTTCCAACGCTGTGCTTTAGAGGATTTTCTTAATAATTATACTTCCTAAGGAAAATATTCATCTTAGGAAAAAAATAGGGAATATTTTCCCTACCTTGTATATGCACAGTAACTGTCTTAGAATAGTTTTAAAGAGAGATTTATTAATGCTGGACCCAAATGTGTAAACTGAGTAGCATAGTGAGATATGAGCTATTGATCAAGATCATTAAAAATAACAACATTCATTTTCAATAAAGAACTAAGGGCAATTTATCTTTCCAAAAGTTTGATATAGTCTGCAAAATGGTAACAGCATTTTTCTCAGTCTCTTTGCTTACAAAACCAATTCATTCTCTCCTTAGAGCATCATTAGCTCCTTATACCTCAGTAAGGTGGTGGTTATTATAGACTCTTCCCAGTGGTGGTAACAGTAACACAGTGACAGGAAGGAGGTTTTAGAGTGAGCATTAAGACAATTTAATTTCCCTCATTAAGAGCCATTCACTTGATTGTTAAAAGCTGCATCTATGCTGGTCCGAGATAGCACTCAAGGTTATGACTAGAGGTGCAGAACTATCAGCTCTTAGCAGAATTTATAGCCTCTGAGGCAGGGGACATCACTACCCAGAACAGTAAAGTGACTTCATTTGCATAAAATGGGTGGGTCACCTCTCACTGACCTTACAGATAATAGATGATGGCCTTTTCCTCTCATGATATTTTCATATGTCAACACACATAAGAGCACCCACTATTGATAATAAGCCCGCACTGCTTCGAAGAAAACAGATTTCAAAATGAACAAATCCTCATTGATCAGTTGTTCTTGACTTTTCACAGAGCCCTAGGTCTCTGGGACCAACACTCCAGTTAAATCAACTAGAAAAAAAAAATGTTCTGAAATATTAGCCTTAGCTGCTTATAATAATAGCCTAAATTACTAGTCACTGTTTTCCTCTAAATTCCTATGGTTTTTCAGGTTAGAAAATCAGTCCTAGTACTTTTATTGATCTAAAAGGCACCTTGGGGTAATGGGAAGAGAAATATCCCAGGAATATTTCCTCAGGCTTTAAAATTAAATAAAGTAACCTATGCCTCGGAGACAGAACATATCAGTTATAGGAAAGCTTAAAGAGGTACAAGAACTTGCATTTCACGGTCCTGAAATCCTACAAGTACCCGCTAAAGTCATCATGATTAGATTCTAAGTGATTACTTACCTGACTCCACAGTCTGTCTCCTTGTCTGTGCTCTGTCATCACACTCAAGCTTCACTCAAAGACATAAGATACAGGGTTGTGGCTAAATACCCAAACCATTCATTAACTCAGTGTTTCTCTTGGTAGAATAAGGGTTAGACTCTCCAGTCAGTGGTTTGCCATCACTTTGGTACCTTCCATTAATTTCATTTAGTAACTGACAAAAAATTCCTAGCTCAGCAGACTATGGACTATTACAGATTAATACATCTGTGGAAGCAAAAGTGACACTCACCCCCAGAGGATGTGCTGCCTTCTGTAGCTTGTTGTAAGGACTGTATTTAGGTTTTGGGGGCTTCCCAGCAGCTCTGTCTTTGTGCCTTCTACTGCTAATGTGCTAGTAAAAGCAATAAAAAATGACAACTTAAAAAAAATCTTCCAAAAACTCTTCCTCACCAATATTGCTTAAACCTGAAGACAGATATCAATTATTTCATGCAAACTTCAGAAAGACAAAAATAAAGGAACATGCATGTGTGTTCTTAGATCCTAAGCCTCCAAGATATATATTCTTGTTATCCATTTTAATATGCTTTTCATAAATAGAAGGTCTTCTCTCTTCCAGTCTTCTCCTTATCACTGCGTTGATCTCCCTCTTTAGAAAAGAATTTACAAAGGAAGTGAGTATCTGAAGGAATTTTATGTGCAAATAAACAAAGGTGGCCAGGCAGGCATGAATTTATTTCCATACTAATATTTATCCTCACATTTGTACAGTCAAATGTCAACTCCTTACATTCTAAAGATAAATAACTAAGGTGCATAAAATCATTGCAATCTCTCACATATGCATATAAAATACAACACAATAGTAGGGATGGACCTTCAACTGAATATGTATATAACTGATGTCTTTGCAAGGCTATTCAGAGTAAAAGTGAATGCAACAGGATTAGTCATCTCTTTAGCAGGTGGCTGAAGGACTTAGAAATACAGTACAATACCATGTAATAAAGTACATAAAATAGAAGAATAGCACAGTATAAAGTTAGTTGTGGCAACTAAATATCTAAACAAGTAAAAATGGAACACTGCAATTTGATCTTTAAAGAAAATCAGCACTCTTGAGTGGGCAATCTAGTAGTGAAAAGATCTAATACCCCCTTTCCTCCCACTCTTCATATATAAGAATAGTACAAACTCACATCAGACAATTGCTGAAAGATTTTAGAAGCCATTACGTGTTAGTATTCCTGCAGCAACTAAAATAAGTGCAAATAAATAAGGGTAATGAATAGAAGATAAATGGATGTAAGATAGGAGGATGGGTGGATGGATGGATTGATGGATGGATGGGTGGGTGGATGGATGGATGGATAGATGGGATGGATGGATGGATGGATGATGGATGGATGGGTGGATGGATGGGTGGATGGATGGGCGGGTGGATGGATGGATGGGTGGATGGGTGGATGGGAGATGGATGGATGGATAGATGGGATGGATGGATGGATGGATGGATGGAAACAAGGTTGGATGGATGGATGGATGGATAGATGGGATGGATGGATGGATAGATGGGATGGATGGATGGATGGACGGGTGGCTGGATGGATGGATTGGTGGGCAGATGGATGGATGGATGGATGGAAGCAAGGTTGGATGGATGGATGGATGAATAGTGGATGGATAGGTGGGTGGGTGGATGGATGGGTGGGTGGATGGGTGGGTGGATGAATGAGTAAAATAGGAAAGGACCACAGTAAGAACACACACCCTGTAGAGAAGGATGTTTCCTCTCTGCTTGCATGTCTAAGATGTACTGCCTACCTGTTTGAGTTGTGTTTCCGAGTTGACGTGCACATCACAGATTTCACAGTGAAACGTTTTGTTTTGCAGGCCTGTATTTCCCTTATTAACAGGTCCTTTGCCTTTCACTCCTGCCCTAGGAAAGGCTTTGATAGTCCCACTACCATTTCGAGCTTCTAGCATGGTTTTGTGCTTTGTACCTGTCAGGAAAAGTTACCAAAAAAAAAAAAAAAAAGGAAATAAGAGAAAAATCTTAGCTGTATATGCCTCAAGAAGTAAAACAAAGATGAAACACCATGCCTAGTTTGAATGCAGTTCTTCAGGGATTATGGTTTAAGTGCCTGACACAGAAGAGTGTAATAGTGTGCTATCACCACCTTGGATAGCATGATTACATGACTGGCTTTTATTACAATATAAAGCATTATTAAATTACATGCATTTATTATAATGCCCCACATTACAAACAAGTGCCACAAATAGAGAAGCTAAACTCCAGAGTCCTGAGGTGAAATTAAATGGGTGTGACTTCATTTCATTTCCTCTTGATGCTAATAAGACATAAATGATAGCTGATGAGGAAGAGTGATTTAGTTGCTAAAGGTATAGTTGGAGGTGGGGTGTAACAAATGTAATCAGTTTAAACATGGTGTGTTTATAGCAGTGGCACTAATTAAATACCCACCTTCTAAACAGAATACAAACAAGCTTTTTTGGCTATGTATTTTAGGTTCAAAGAGAAAGAGTGATAGTATAAAGATCTTAATCACTGTGAAAAAAAAAAAAAAGCCCTATTAGGAAACCACGCTTAAGCTGAATGCCTATGTAATTTCAAATGCAATAAATGACCATGAGGAGAGTGGACTCAGGATCAGCAGATACACCATAAATAAATGCTTCGTTCTAATACCAATACCAGCTTTGGACCGTCACGCGTAATTACTGTAACTTTACCTGTCAATGTTTGTTTTCTTTAAGAACCATTAAGGTACACGATAACAGTCTTTTCTCCATATTTTGCTCACAAATTTCCTTTTTCTTCAAGTTAATAAGGATTCTTTACCTTTCTCACTTGGTCACAGGCTTTGCTCTGCTGTTTTCTCTCACAACCATTCATGTCCTTTCTGCCACTCTAATTTTGAAAAATCCTTTTCTAGTAGTTTTCTATTGCTAATGTTTTTATTAGGTGGTTATCAGTTCTACAAACATCAAAAAGATGAACTTCTGATTCGTAGGTCCAGGGCCATTGAATACTGATGAGAAATCATGCTGGGTGGGCACTCTGGGTAAGTGCCAGGCACTGTCTTCTTCAATGGACGGAGCACATTCATAAAGCAGGTTTAGCGTCCATATTCCCTTCAAAGTGGTTATAACTTTACCAGTTCAACATAAAAAAAATTATATAGTTTACAACCTTGATTTTCCACTGTGCAGGTCAGAATCTTATGCACAGCTGTGAAAATATTCTTATTGCAACATATTAAGGAAGGAGTAGAAGCCAGTGCCTGTGAGAAAATAAGGAAGAGGCAGGAACTATGGAACTTCTGTGTGTGTGTGTAGGGGGGGAAGTGGTTGTGGGGGTGTTGGGAGCTTCCCTATGTGATCCCACCCATCCCCCTCACAACAGTCACATACATGCTTCTATTTTATATTAACATGACACAAGGGATGAGGGTAAATCACCCTCCTGGAGAGCAAGGATTCACACTCACACATGTACATGTGTGTAGAGCATGTAGATGTTTGTCTGAACTATCCCTATTCCCTATTTGATTTTATCAAAGTATTTCCTTTTCCTGGAGCTTCGTCAGTCAGACTGAGAAGCATTTATGGGAGGATTTTGGTTATGAATGTCTAAGAAGTAGTTAGCAGGAGACTAATACTCATCCTGACTTTTTGGAGGGATTCTTGTAATGGGGGCCAGGGGAGTTGGTGTTTAGTAGTGGAACTTCATGATACAGAAAGATGTTTTCATCTGTTCAACAATATTGAAGTAAATAATCTTGCCTAGGAGGATAATTTACTAGGCATAGGTAGTTGGTCTCATGAATGAGTGTTCGGTGAATTGGAGAGACAAGAGAAAACTCAAAAGATCTGGACTTAGCAACAGGAAGAAATGCTTCACAAAGCAAAATTCTCCCATAATATCTTTGGCAGTCTGAGACCGATCTATGCCATGTCTCTAGAGGCAGAGTAGAAATGGAATATATGTTAACATTTGAAAAATGCTCATTTTTAAAAAGAAAATCAGTGAGGTATTAGCACTAATCTTTCAATGCAGGCTCATCACAGAAGCTAGAAAGTACAGGAAAATTCAATACACCCATCTATGCATTCTTTACACACATATGGCTAAAGATGTTAAGTTTGGTTAAAAAACTTCACACAGTAATTTTGATTTGGGGGTTAATGTTCATCACCACGTAGAGTGGAGCTTTTGTGCAGTTAAAAAAAATCTATGTATTTTAGCAGATTATCAGTCATAATTGAATAGCAATTAGGTAGTTTGATATGATCTTAATACTTGAATAGGCTGTTAAGTTAGGTGCATTTTCTCAAGGACAGCTAGAATCAAGACAAAGGTGTACTCTTAATTTTAAGCATTTACATTTTTGAGAAATATTATGTGCAACCATAATGTAAAAATTGTAATTATTATTAAAATGAGTTATTATTACTCATTTTAGCTATAAACCATTAGGCATATGGGCTAAATTACCTATGACTGAGATGCTATTACTATGCCCATTTGACAGATAACAGGGCTCAAGTTAAAGTACCATGTGCAAGCAGGGCTGTAACCTTCTGGCAGGTAGAGAGTGCATTTCTAGCTAGCTTCCTAGAGTTCCTGAGATTTCAATAGAAACCCATTGGGATTTTGGCATCAGCTGAATTCCAGTTACATACAAGCTCCTCACAGCTCCTTTCATTTTCTATTTTGTGAAAGCAGCTTTTTTTAAGCTCTGGTTTGAATTTGAGTCATTCAAGTTCTTTTTTCCCCTTTAGGAAATACTGCTTCCTACTCAGCAGAGCTCTGGGCACTGGCTGCTGAAAGAGGCTATGAGTTCACCTTTCAACACCCCCAAATCTCTCCCTGAGGTGGGTGCTCCTCTGTGTTGGCACAGCAGGGCCCTCTCAAGTTTGTGCCTATCCTTTCTTGCTTCCTCCTCTGAGGAGAGAATCCAGTTTCCTCCTATCATTTTGAAAAGGCTAACTCTGACATTGGCCTTCATTGAAGCTTCAGGATCCCTGAAATGTGAGGTCCGCCAGCAACCACAGCAAATCATAAAGTTCCAAGAATACTGTGATTTTTTGTTTGTTTGTTTTTTATTATCTTGGTCAAGATATTTATTGATCTTATATCTGCAAACATTAAAGTAATCTGTGGTAGAGACTGGTCTCTCCTGCTCATCCCTATCATCTTTACAACTTTCTCTTTGAGATGATTCTCAGTGCAGGGACTGGTGTGAAGGAAAGATAGGTGAGCCAGAAAACTGGCAGGTGCTTCTTAAAATGAAATTAAATCATTCATTAGATCATTTGCAAGATTTAAAAATGAAAAAAAAATGATATAATTCCATCAAAGAGGTTTATCAAAACAGCAATCGAGGGTGTCATGTACCAATCTTTTATATTCTACTTGTTACAAGCATTTTAAAAACTTTGGATGATGAAAGTGACTTTACACAGAGATGCCAAGGAATTATATATATACTTTTAGAAAGGCACATGATTTTAAATGATACCGTAGGCTTACACTATACAGATGTGATATATTTAATCATTTATCTACTATTATAGACTTTTATTATTTCCTTTTCCCTCTATATAATTAAATTGCAATGAAGAGCCTACTCAAATCATATATATTTGGTTGTTTCCTTAGGAAATTTTCATAAGTGGTATGATAAAGACAAAGCATATGACTATTTTTAAGTCTCTTATTCAAGCAGCCAAAATTACTTCCTACACATTACAAAGGACGACTCAGAGTTTCATTGTATAGAGAACTGCATCTTAGTATAGTATGAAACATTTACTTCTCTATAAAATAAATTTCAACAACCTAAATCTTGATTTTTCCAGAATGCCCATGAAAATTACATTAAACGGTGTTAGACTAATCCTTAACAAACTATGCAACTGCCAGTAATCATTTAGTTACCTTCTCATTTGACAAGTTCAGACGATTCAGCTTAGATAAAGGGCAGGAAAATGGTCAGTCTCCATATAAACAGCAAAGTGCAAGTATTCTTTTTTTTGATGTGTTTATTAGTGACTGTCAGTTTAATGGCATTATATGCCACCTTGTGTGTCCTAATGAAGAAAAATTCTCTTGAATCTATATATTGGAACTGTGTAACTGGCATCAAAAGTCTCCATATATTCTGTTTGACCCTTTCACATGAATGCTGAGCTCCTCTATAATATGTATTTTCCACGTCAGTCATATCTGTATTTTCTTAAAGATGAACACTTTAGTTTACTCTGTCTGACAAATATTAAACACCACTTACCCAGTGGCACCCATGGGTATCAGGTGACCCAATAAGTAAACATGGTGTTATTTCTCTGAGCTGCCTGGTTGACAGTCACTTGCTGATTGACTAATAATGGATCTAAAGTCCAATTTGCACAGGTGAAAGTAGAGACGAGAGAAATCAAAAGTCTACAGAAGGAAGGAATTCTGCTTTAGGATCATAAAGGGTCTCAGAGAGAGAGGACCGAGAAGCATTAGGTCAAGATAGGATGGGCGACAAGCCACACACAGTGCTAGTGGAGATGGCTGTGGGGGGACCCAGCAGGTACCCTGTAGGCTCAGAGGGCCAGGCTGGCAGAGCACTTGGCTGGGTTTTATGGGGAGATAAACATATTGACTCAAGCAACTCTTGGAGTCCTAGGCTACAAGGAGAAAGAACAACTTTGAAACTCCTCTTTTCTCCATGGTAAGTAACTACAGGGAACTGAAACTTTCCAGTACTGTGTGAGACAGGCATTTAACAATCCTTAGGTGCACCCATCTCATCTTAAAACAAGCCCCTTGAATGCATGGGAAAGCACAACCTCCTGTTCTTATCTGTGATTTGCAAGAACTTAGCAAAAGATCTTCACAAGATAAATGCTAAGCAAGGAAAAAGTGAGTGCATTTGTCATTGTTTCATCAAATGACATAGATGATGCTGTCTTAGTTATTTAGAAA